CCCTGACTGGCACAGTACTCTTCTATTGCCTCAATGTGAGCACTCATCATAAGGTATTATGTTTCTTTCAGTTGTTGGAGGGCCCCGACCAGCGCAACAGCCCTTCTGCCAATCAGGCTCCGGTCCTTGTCCCTGTTGAGCAACTTTCCCCCTGACCAATTCGAGACCCTTTGTTGACACAAAATACCATATTAGGCACTACGGGCCCCTGGGAGATACAGGATCCCGACCAAATGTAAACCGCGGGCCCGGCCTTGTCACTGCTTGGGAAATGGGCTCCCAGATCTCAGACCAACACGGAGCCGACTGTTCACTGTTCGTAATCTCTGGCCGAAATAGAGGAACGCCCTGTCCCAGGGGTCCCTATCGGTTTAAGAGATCATCTTAGTGACATTTGAGAACACGGCCCTATGGGCGGTAGTCCTTGATGTGACCTACAGCCAGCCCTTTGGACGCTTCATCCATCCCATCGAGCCCTTGGTCTTTGGTCTCGAGAGACCATTCGGCTCCTCTTCGGGCTCCCTCAAACACCGTTCCGACTCGGGGCCACTTGCCACCACAGGACGCCTGTGCGGTCCCTAATCGACGCAGGAGCCCTCATTGTGTCAGGAGCCCAGAACGTTGCAAGTCGCGGACCCCGGCCTCCTTTTTGCTTGGGAAATGGGTCTCAAGAGCTCGGACGGACATGGAGCCGACTGTTCGGTGTTCGTGGTCTCCGACCGACTAAGACACCCGCATTGTCTCACAGGCTCCTCACACGGTGCAAGAGGACCTCTGACTGATATTTCAGGTCACGACCCTACGGGCCGCGATTCTTTACGTGACCAACAGCCAGTCCTTCGGGTCTTTATGCCCTCCAGCCGGGCCTTTGATCGTAGGTTCCGGTGGGCCACCCTAGCCTCTCTTTGGATCCCATCAAACACTTCCGTTGGTCGGCTCGAGGCCCTTGCGAGCACAGGGCCTTTTGTTAGTCGCTGTGGGCCCCTTACAAATGCATCGAATCTCACCAGTGTAAATTACTGGCCCCGACGTTATGGCTGATTGGGAAGCAGGTCCCCAGGCCCAGACGGGCACGGAGCCGACTATGTGGCGCGATGGTACCTGACCGACATGTAAGCCTATATTGACCCAGGTGGTCCCCGATCGGCGCAGAGAGCCCTCTGACCGTTATTTGAGGGTCCGTCTTCGCAGGCATGGGCCCCTGAATAAAACTCTGATCAGCTCTTTATGCCATTAAACCCTCTAATTGGGCGTTTGATCGTCGAACCGAGTGGGCCCTCTAGGCTCTTCAGGCCTCCTCGAACACTGCCTCTGGCCGACTCGGGACCCTTTGACATCACAGGGCCCCTGTTAGGCGCTGCGGGGCCCCGAGCAATGTAATTCGCTGGCTCCGGCTTTGTCCTTCATTGGGAAATGGGCCCTTTGGCCCATGCCGGCACGGAGCCGACTGTGCGTTACTGGTGGTGTCTGATCGAAATATAGGCCCTTATCGACTCAGTGGGCCTCTAATTCGCGCGTAGCTCCCTCTGGCTGACATTAAAGTGCCCGGACCTGCGGGCCGGAGCGCTTGAACGAGACCTCCGGCTGACTTTTCAGGCCCTTCGGACGCTCAAATTGGGCCCCTAATCGCAGGTTCCGAGGGGCCCGAAGTACGTACGGGATGGTTACGCGCCCTCTGTGCCCCCTGCCCGCGCTCCTGGCTCCAGCCAACTTTGGGAAGAAAGTGCTCTGCTCGGGTGGGGGGACAATTTTACCACCCTACGATCTCGGAAACTAAAGTGGCTTGAGACACAAAATTCACAGGGTGGGTTTGCCTGCAAGGGTGTAGCGGTGCAACGTCGCCGAAGATAATGACGTGTGCGACACGTGAACTCACTTGTGTCAATATGTGAGACTCCTATGTGATGAGCTTGGGGTCAAGTAAGGTCAAACAAGGCCTAAGAACATACGCCAGGCGGTACGTTCCTAAAGACATGATGCTGACCTGGGTCATTTTAGGTCAATAACCTATTCTTATCTTAACAAAGTCCATGGCAAATTTCTGTTCCGGTCCCTGTTATTAATAAATTCGAACTGAGCACTGGACACTACCCTACAAAGCAAGCTCTCCAGTAAAAAGTATGTTAGTTTTTTTACCTCGGCCTGACCCTGTACCTGAACCTAGGTCAATGAAATCGGTTTTAATTCTACATCCACTGGCTTTGTTGCCTACGAAACTATCTCAGATCTGTATGGCTTCGTGTTACACTCCGTTGTTGCATCACATTGAACGATTCCCTAAAAGTGCTGTTCGCTGACAGCCATGGCACAGCTTTGACCTGCTATATAGTTTTTAGCTGCCATTTGACCTGCCATATAGGTCAGCAACCTTGCAGGATACATACGATTTTTACATCAAACGATCTGCCATTCAATTCTCTACAGCTGCATGAAGTTTGGTGGGACCCCTCCGCGCCGCTCGGAAAGCATTCTGGAAAAACCTTAGGGTGTAAATTTGACCCCCACCCAAGTGCGTATCCACTGTCCATACAACTGCTTATGTCCTGTGTAACTACGCGACAGCTCACTTTTTGCCCACGAAAAACATAAACAGAAGCGTGGCAATAAAAGAAAACGTAACTAGTCGGTACCTGAGAAGCCGTTTTGCTTCACCCGTAACAACAATACGCACCAGTTCACACCTTCGCTCAACAGCGGGTGGTTGATGCCGCCGAGGGCTGGACGTGAGCATACTCGGTGTCGCCGGCGCTCTTATTTTCTCTGCTAAATCTGACAGCAATTTTGGACCTGAAGGTGTGCGATAGCATAGGTTTGAAGGCGGCACTGTCCAACCGCATGGCTCCAACTCTGGGAAGGAATGGGATGACTGAAAGTGGTGCCACGACAGTATGATATTTCGCGAAAGTTGCGGCAGCGGCTCTGTACTTTTCAAAATGGGTTATTCATTACTTTTGTTCAGAGACGTGCCATTTTAACAGTGTGTGCTGTCTGGCCTGGTTGATCGCTGTTCGTGTTTGTGAGTGCACCGCGACTCAATGCCATTAGCTTGATACACAGGCCGCCGATGATCGCAAAGATAAGATCAGGAGAAAAATACCAACATTCAATTGTCGCAAGCAGTGCACACCGAAGCGATCATTGCTTTTTCTCGACTTTCGTGCCTGCCATGCTTCGTGGTTCAGGTCGTCGCGAAGAAAACTATCTTTTGGATTATGCATACAGCAAATTTTAATTATTTTTATCCGATGATGTTGAATGGTTGGATTTCTGGGATCAGCGTTCACGCTAACCAGTGCTTGCCGTGTGAGCCCTGAACCCTACCATCCGATCGCGCAATTCCACTTCAAAGACAGAGTTTGGCGGCGAAAGTTTAGCGTGCCGCAAGGCTCGGTACGGTCCGTCCTGCCCTCTGACGTCACCTGAACTTTCGCGCGACCGCTGCCGCCGGTCGCAGACTGCACCTGTCAAGACCAAATAGCGAGCACCTAGAGCGATTCGAGCCCACCCCGCCACGGGTGGGTGGATAGGAAGGCAAGCGCTCCAACCAACTGAGCCAATAGGGTGGACCAAGTTGGCCTTTGCTGTTTCCATGTTCGTTGTGTACTTACCGCTACGGCCACTGCGATAAAACTGGCACTGAAGTTATGACTTCAGAACACGACCTAGCATGAGTCTATTCTGATACTAACATGTGGCCTGGTATCGACTTCTCAAGCTCATCAAAACACATCAGAAATGTAAACATACAGGAAAACGCCTGGAACGTTATACAGGGCATACTGTCCACGAAAAAAAAATATTATAGGCCCTCGGCCTTATAGTTAGAGTAGCTAGGATAACTTAATTTTGGGCTGAATTACATCCTTCATAATGGCACTTGATAAGTTCATGTGGCACGAGGGCTATGACATGTCAACGACATTGTTTGCGGAATATCGCGAAGGTTGGCCCGAATCCTCACTCAAGCCCTGATGGCGCACGCTTACATGCCTTCATCACAACACCACTTGCATAGCGGTGGTCATAAAGAAAGCTACGAGGAGTGTGAACATCATTAGTGGTACATTATATATCTCAAAGCAACACGGCAGGCATGTATGTGAAGTGATATTATTCTTTTCCTTCGTGTTGATACCTTGAATATTTGCCGATTGTCCATTCTAGAATCATCCTGTGAGCACGAAGCGTAGGCATACTCGTGCTGTAAGACTGACGACGACAATAATTCAGAGCATTTTATAGCCCTATTTTTCGCACACGCTGTCACCCGATTTGGTTTCACGCATGAGCTTGCCAACCGGCCAAACATCCAGGAAGGCAAAAATCCACTCGCAAAGGCGAACAGCATTCAGTCGGACAAGGTACGTATACTCCTGAAACGCGATATAACTGCACGAAAACATCATCACGATCCATTTTGACAGAGCGCAGGCAAACCCTCCACCGAGCCTCACTCCGGCGTCGCATTCATCTCCGCCACGCCACACCAATCCCAATCAGGCGAGTGGCGCCGCCAAACAGAGCCGAGCGGCGCCAGTCGGCGCCCGGCCCCGTCCAGCCCGACCCCGCCCAGCCCGACCCCGTCCAGCCCGGCTTCTTGGGCCCTGCCCGGCCGAGTCCAGCCCGGCCCCGCCCGACCCGACCACGTCCAGCCCTGCCCGGCTCCGCCCCGCCCACCCCCGTCCGGTCCGACCCGGCCCGGCCCCGTCGATCCCGCCCGGACCCGTCCAGTCCAGTCCGGCCCGGCCCCGCCCAGTCCAGCCTGGCCCCGCCCGGCCCGACCCCGTCCAGCCCGGCCCGGCCCGGCCCAGCCCGGCCCGGCCCGGCCCAGCCCGGCCCGGCCCGGCCCGGCCCGACCCGGCCCGGCCCGGCCAGGCCCCCGTCCAGCCCAGCCCCGTCCAGCGCGGCCCTGCCCGGTTCGGCCCCGTCCAGCCCGGCCCGGCCCGGCCCGGCCCCGCACGGCCGCCGCTCCTCGGCCAGCAATCGGCCGTATGTCTCACCTCCTGTGGCGGCACATCGAACGACACTGTGCGCAGGTCCACTTTCCTGTACGTGTCAATACAGGGCACGATGAAGAAGATGCCGGGTCCCTTGGCGCCGCCCTGCAGCAGCCGGCCCAGCCGGAAGATCACGGCCCGCTCGTACTCCTGCACCACCTGCCGTGATGCGACGAGCCGTCAGAGGCAGGCGTCGGCCCGGACGTATAAAAAGCGTATCAAACGACGGGCAAAACGTGTATTGTCACTCGAACAATATACGTTTTGCCCGTCTTCCCATTCACAGTCCCAGTTTCAGGTTAGGGTACTCCACAGATTCCAATTTGATCTCTTCCCTCGGTCTCGATTTGCTCCCCATTGTGGGAGACGTGGTAGCATCCGTGGATTGGCAAACAAAATCGCTGAGTTGTAGACGCAAGAATATAAAAGAATACGTTAAGATCAAACGCGTGCAAAACAACTCCTTGCTCATTTTAGGCCATTGGCTGGCCAAAAACTGAGCCAGTTGGCTGGAAGTGCAAGGAAGGATCAAAATTTTCGCGGAAGTCTTAGGCGTGCATGCGCTTCACATGGAGACCATGGCTGGAGATCCATGGACCACTAACGCCATTTTACAGGATTACTGGACGTAATCGAATATGATGTTAACTATGTAATTCTCGAAATATAGCGGTAGGCCATGCGAATCGCCACGGCAGGCGACCACTCGCGGGGAACGTACCTTGACGCACAGGCAAATAGAGAACGGCAGTGTGCATATGATGAGGAGGTACGAGACGAGGGTTAACAGAATGGCGCAGCATCCTGGACCCTCCGGATCAGCTGCAACACAAACAGCCCGGTCAGGAGTGGGTCGTGTGAAACAAACCGGCAGACAGCTGTGGTAAACCGTACAGCTCTGTCCCAAGCAGCCCCCACACGCTGGACTTGAAGTTCTTATGCAGCTTGTGCACTGAACAGCCTCTGTAATGCGTCCTGAAAATGGGTCGACCAGCGCGGCGGCTCAAGCTCAGAAAACGCAGTTTGGAGGCTGGCTAACACCTAAAGCACAGGTTACAGGCTGGCCAACAGCTGTAAGAGAGATTTGGAACAATTGGCAGCCACCATACATGCTACAGATCAGTCCGCACCTGTAGGCGTTGCGTCCTCACAGAACCGAAGAAGTCTACAACACAGCTCACAGCTCCGTCGGTCAACAACTGCAGGACATCACACTAACCAATGCGCAGCTGCAGGACAGCATACTGACCGATACACAACTGCGGTGTAAGAAAATATGAAATAGTTATGAACACCCATTGTAAAGCTGTTCATCATTTTTTCTCAAGGCATGTTTCAAAATGTTCGTAACCATATGCATAAAGGGCTGCAGCGAAAGCAACGTGCGCTGTGAGGAACGCTAGGCCATCCCTCTAACAATGCGCCAATTCTGTTGGGCAAATGAAGCCGCCGTGATCAAAACAGTACTCAAATATGTGTGTGAAATTATAGCTCGAAACAGGTGCGTAGCTATTACCCCAGACATGTGGAGACCGGTCACCTTTCCCATGCCAATTTCTTCCACTTATCGTCAAAGGGTTCTTGAGCTTATATAACGGAAAGTGCGTGGGCTTTGGGTGACCCCCTCCCGTTGAGCCACGATGCTCAGTGGCCTGCAACTGGTTGAGGCCATGAATCGGTGCTCCTCTCTCTCTCCTTCTCTCTCTCTCTCTATCTCTCTTCTCTATCCGCGCTCTAGAGAATCCTCGAATCTCAAAATATCTTCGGAAGAGGCGAGAAGAGAGAGAGAGGGAGTTATTCTCTCTGGGAGAAGAGATCGTATAGGCTCTTCTCTCTTCAAGCTCGGGTATCTCTCTCTCTCGAGAGAGGAAGAGCTCTCGCTCTCTCTGTCTCTCTCTCTCTCTTCTTCTCTCTCTCTCTCTTCTCTCTCTCTCTCTCTCTCTCTCTCTCTATCTCTCTCTCTCTCTCTCTTTCTCTCTCTCTCTCTCTCTCTCTCTCTATATTCTCTCTCTCTCTCTCTCTCTCTCTCCTCTCTCTCTCTCTCTCCTCTCTCTCTCTCTCTCTCTCTATCTCTCTCTCTCTTCTCTCTCTCTCTTCTCTCTTCTCTCTCTCTCTCTCTCTTCTCTCTCCTCTCTCTCTCTCTCTCTCTCTCTCTCTCTCTCTCTCTCTCTCTCTCTCTCTCTCTCTCTCTCTCTCTCTCTCTCTCTCTCTCTCTCTCTCTCTCTCTCTCTCTCTCTCTCCGCAATCCCGCACAAGAACAACTGATCAATAATTTCGGACAACCACCGGACAGGGGACAACATTGATGCGAAATATGCGCATGAAACATCAGCAGTGCGGCTTTTTGGTAATTGTTGCTTTGACTTCCGCAACAAGTATCATGCCGTATTCTGTATGCGTGACTAGGGACTGCCGCCGGCCTTCCTACGTAATGAGGCATTGCATAATGCAGCAAGGGCCTTGCACGACAGAGAGGGAACGTCCGTGCGGCTGGTGCTGCTAACTAACTAACGGTGCTGCCGACCCTGCAGTGACATTCCGTCACTGTGGAACAGCTGCGGCAGCGGGGCGTTTCGCCACTCACGGAACAGCACGCTAAGCTCCATATACTTGCTGCTTCGCCGCTGAGTCGAATACTCCATACCCGATCACTGGTTCGCCTTTTGACGGGGCGATCTCCGAGGCACGCCGGAACACCGAGAGCACCATACGCCGCGGCAAAGCTGCGCGGATTGCTTCACCGAGAACACTGGGTCACCGAACACCGCGTGACTTCTGCTGAAGCAGCCCGCCTCGGGACGCGCGGCTCCATCGAACGCGCTGTGGCAGCCGTAGGGGGCAGCGCGGCCCTGACATCGGCGTCACGCATCGCCGGCCAGTCGGCGCCAGCCTGGCACCGCGTGACGGCCGCTGCGTGACGCGTGACCGGCGTCGCTCCGGCCAGCGGGCCAGTCTGGGCGCGGCGGCAACGGCAGCGCCCCCGGCAGCCGTCGCCGGGCTACTCCCAGCGGCCGTCCGTCAGCGGAGCCAGACGGGTGGCCGTCTCCCCAAATAAACAGCGCCGCACCGGGCGGCACACAGCGCAAATAAACGGAGCGACAGGTGACCGGGAGAACAAGCGGCGCCGCGTGGGAGCCGACAGGTAAATATAGCCACCCACCGGCTGGCGTGGAGGGCACGCGGCGCCTGGGCTGAGGGCGCGCGCCGGGCGCGCGGGCGGCATCGGCGTCGGTCGCCAGGTTGGGCGCACCTGTCGCGCTCCAGGCGGCGCGTGGCACCGCGCCGCCCCGCACTCCCGGCCGCCACGAATCGACAGCCACCGCCCGCAGCTCGCCGGCAGGAGGCGCCCAGTCGGCGGCCGGCGCCGGCGGCAGGACACGGCGGTCGGGGCACTCGGGGCAGCCGAACCCTGGCAGCAGCGAGCGCGCCGACACGAACGTCCGCTCCGGGACGACACAGGTCGGCTCGGCCGGCGCGGCTCGGCCGGTCGCGTCGCGCGGCGCCTCCGCACCAGGGCTGAACACGGCACTCAGCGCGCCGGCGGCGGCCAGTAGCCCGAAGGTGCGCTTCTTCCTTTGGAAGCGGTCGCCGGACGCGGTGTGCCACGTCTTCTTCCGGTCCCTACCGCTGCGCGTGGCCCACAGCCGCCGCCGTCGACCCGAGCTGGCGTCGGCGAGGAACGGATTGCCGCCCGAGAACGGCGAGCTGTCCACGAGCGGCGAGCCGCCGCGAAACGGTGAAACGCCCTCCAGCGGCGACGTGGCCAGGAAGGGCAGCAGCGGGTCCGAGCCGCGCCGCGGAGAGCTGGCTTCGCGCACGAACCTGCGTCCTCTCCTCCGACCGCTTGCGCTGACGCACGCCGTCCCTGTCACTGCGCTTGTAGCCGGCCCGCCAGCCCGCCTGCTTGGAGGCCTTGTTCCTGGAGCGGCCGGCGCCCGGGTCGGAACGGCGAGGCATGGCGTTCCGCTGGCAGCGCCCCCCGTTCCGCCCACCTGTCGACGCCGGCGGCGGCCACACTGTCGCCTGTCGCGCCCAGTCTGCGGCGCCGCTGAGCGCCGCTCACGCCCCGCTAAAAATACGCGGCGACAGTCGTCGTCGACGGCATCGGTCCGCTCCCGTGCGGCGACGACCATCCGTCTCGTTTTTTTTTTTTTTGGTCTCCACTTTCACTGCTCGCCTCGTTTGTTATGGTCTTACTTGTTTGTCTGAGCAGGCATTTCGAGTGACCAGCACAAGGGTGCATTTATGGTGCTTCGATGTTCTCCATCAGCATGAGCCCCGCGCTCAGGTGCACAAACAGCAAGGACGATCGAGAAACGACCCAATCGCTGTTGTGAAAGTTTAACGTTACTGGTGTAATGTCATTTGGAGCGCGGATCGAGTTGAATTAGAAAGCATGCTCGCTCGATAACTTCGGGAACGCCCGCGCCATTGCCGGTTACACGCGGGTAATATGGTCACGCACACGGCCGGGTCAAGCCAGATTCCCACAAATTTGGTTTGACCTTGGCTAGGTACGTTTCGTGCACGTACAATAATCTTTAGGATATTCAGGAAGTGTGCATGCGGCATTGTTACCAGCATCCTAGCAACAGTCTGCATAGATACACATCGGTATATATATATATATATATATATATATATATATATATATAATTTACACCTACAGTAGCTCCACCGTGCGTCACTGACAGCCATGGATCGAAAAGAGGGGCATCAGTCATCAACAACGTGAACGGTGCAGATTCCTCGTCATTGGATAGCGTAACGAACTCCGTGGGACACTATTGGCTCTCAACGATCCACGGAAATTTTCGATTTATCTTGGAAACACTGTACGTGCTCCGAACAAAGCCATCATCTCCGGACAGCGACGAGAAGGTACTAATCATGGACTGAAGGAGGTTTTGCCAGCGAGGTTCAGCCGCCACTGCTGCTGCCAGATGACTGCTGCCAGATGACCGTGACCCCGAATTGGGACTGTCCCCACGCAGAGTTTTCGTCCAGCGAGCTACACAGATGAGTCACATGGTTACCGTGTTTAAAGCCCGTCAGCGCCACCCTGTAGGCTGGCTGCTCACTTGGCACCTGTGGTGCGGGAATGACATTGAGTTCCTGGACGACGCCTCATTGTCTGGACATGACCTTAATGACGTACATAAAAATATATGGATCAATGTTGGGCACACGGGTGTCTTTTGTTGGGCGCACGGGTGTCACGGGTGATCTGTGTTCTTTTGTGAGAGCCATGCCCTATCCCAAATGTTAAGTTGCTTCCCTCCACCTTCAATGTTGACTTGGCCCCCAATGCTTTTAGCTGGAATGCTACAAAAAGCGTAGGTAAAACACGACCATCACATAAAGACCATCTTCTTTGATCTTCCCGTGTAGTGGTGTTGCCGTGGAGGATGCAGCGCGGCAGCTTGATCCCCACAACCTCAAAATTATTTCCTCAGCTGGTGGGTAACTTTATATAATGAGGGCTAGACTCTTTTATACATGATGTGTTTTGTTCGGCCCGTCAAACACGACCCTAGACACCTGTTCCCTCAAACTAAACATGATATTGGCGCTACTGGTTCACTGGTCTGGTAGCGACCGTTTCATTTTGTCTGCAAACCATGGAGGACTGCGAACCGAACAATGTTTTACTCGAAACTTGACACTCTTTACTGTATGGTCTCATGAGAAAATACATTTGGGTAACAAAATGTTGTTTTTAGTGCGGTATCGTTACTTGAAAACTTAGATTTAGCTATGAAATGCGATATACAATGCACATAACAGAAGATACAATTTTGCTGGGACGGATTCTGGATCGGATTCCGTGCTGGAAAAAAATTTATTGCTTGCACTTAAACCATCATCCCATTATTGTAATGAATGTTTAACGGACCCACTCTGCTTCGAGTCATTATCGAAATCGCAAGAAAGGACCGTTACCATGTCGTATAAATGTGAAATACTATCTTTGAAGGGAGTGTTCCGCAGCTGTATGGGGTTTAGAACTAAAATAGTCATTTTGGCGGTCATTCAGCGCAGTTCATAGTCCTGTCCTTAAAAACTTAACTCCTCTAGTTTCTGAGTTACACATCACAAGGAGGTGCAGACCTTTTCGGGGAGACTTTTTCAGGGTGACCTATGTATCCATAGCGCCATAATAGCGTCATTAAATCCCCCCCCCCCCCCTTCTCTTAGCCATGCAGCGATCAAGGCCAAGACAAATGCAATTGTCGAGGCGTTTGTATCTGGCGTTCGTGAGCACAATTTCCAGATATAACGCCGTTGGATGGCATTCAATCAATGTTGCGAAGAGCGTATTAACTAAAGATAGAAATTGTGTTGTCTAGGGTAGTTTTTCCACTTTGCAGGATACCAACAGCTATAAGTGGACTTACTTCTTCGTATCTGATGCTTGCTTGAATATCTGCAAATGTGGAGCGTCCCTTTCGATAATAACGTTGATATTTATTTATACATCTTTGCACCGATACTTGCCCTACACTGTTTTTGGGCGAAAATACGGCAAAGGTTGAGCTTCTTCTGGAATCCCGTGGCCGTCATGCTTCAGAATGTTTAGTTGCATTCTTTAACAGTTGCAAGAGAATTCACTGCTTTGGATATAAATTAAACGGTCAGACTTCGAAGGTGCATCTCCTTGCACAGCAGGCAATGCTACCATTCAATAGTGCGCAATCTGAAACATTTGATTAACACTTATTTCGTACGCCGGTCTGCTATCACTTTGTAAGTCTGAGGGAGAGCTAGCTCACATGAAACGAAATGCCTTGCAACATGTAACACGTCCATTTCTCGGAGTTTCACACGCGTCTCAGACGCGGAACAACAATCTAACACGTGTATGGGTGGCAGGCTGATTGCGGCGCGCTCGGTGTGAGAGGAAGTCAATATCACCACTGGGATAGAAAAAAAAAAACAATAACAAGGGAAGCAGAGACGCTGAATCTACAAGGTCAGAATGCCTGTGCATGAGCGCACTTGCGTCAAATTTTGAAAAGACTAGGTTAAAACACCTGTTGCCTTTGAGCAAAATAAGGTCAAACTTCAGATCAGTATCCGGAGTGTCTTCAGACCTTTTCACGCAACCACCTTAACCCAAGATAACTGTTGTTGGCAAAATTTCACTGGCGTTCACTTCAGGTCACACCGGTCGGAGCGGCTGCGCCCGCACCGGTCGAGAAAACGTTGAAATGGGTCACTTTAGCTCAGTGATCTCCTCTGACTTGCAAGAAATCCAGATGAGATGTCTGTTGACGTACCTGTGATCAAGAAATTCGAAAGGAGCATAAAAAACAACCTCCTCGAGCACGCCCTTCATAGAAAAAGCAGTTAAGCTTTGACCACGGTCCGACCTTCATACCGACCCAAGTGCAATGAAATAGGTCGTAATGCTGACCTCAATTTGATAAATGTCTAAGAAACTATCTTGGAGATGCATGGCTTCGTTTGACATTACGCTGTCGCATCAGCTTTAACGATTTTACAGGAATTGTCTCCTCTGACACTCATGGCCTGACCTCAACCCGCTATGGGTCAGCAACCTGACCACGTAACCTAACTTTCTACACCGTTCCCATGCCGCTTCTATAAATATCTGTTATTTCACTGTTTGCAGCTATCCAAAGTTTGGCGCGGCTATGTCGCGCCAAAACTTTCTCGTAAATGTAGCCCGATGTTCACCTCTCCATGGACACGTATGATTGGCGCTTAAAGCTGCGCATCTTACCAACGCTAGAACGGCTACACCGCACCGGTCAGAAATTATTTTGGAAAACTTTCGAAACCTTCGCATTTTCTACACAGCTATAGTAAGCTCACCCTCAGCTTTTTACAGTACATTTCTAGGTAACTAATGAAAGCAGTCTGATATTAGCCTAGATTCCAAACAAGTACATTGATG